ATCATCATCACCATCACATCATCATCATCATATAAATTTGTATGCCACCCAACTCCCAGCAACTCTGGGCAGTTTACAAATGATTTAAAACATGACAATAAAGACAAGGCAGAAAAAAGGATAGAGATGGCAGAATAACAAACTGGGGAGAAATGAGAGAAAACAACCTAAGTTAAAAGGAGGCCTCAGTCATCCCCACCAAAGGCCTGGGTAAAGAGCCAGGTCTTCAGGCCCCTTCAGAACACCAGCAGGGTGAAGGCCTTTCAGATCTCCAGGGGAACCTCATTCATTAAGGTTGACAGTGCAACAGAGAGGTGTGCTCCCGAGGTCCCAGTAGATGGCATTGCTTAATTGAAGAAACCTGGAACATGCCAACCTTGCAAGATCAAACCGGTCAGGCAGATACTATGGGAGATAGGCAGTCCCTCAAGTAACCAGGCCCTATGCCATTATCTGTGCATCCGTTTGGTCACTGCATAGCTGGGCTATTTTTACATTCTAATTTCTTTTCTGTTTTAACCATGTTCTATGTAGGTTATATCAATCATTAGTGAACTTTCCAATTGTTTTAAACTTAATTATACACTTGAAAATACTGTTATGTCATATGTTAGCTTTTTTCCAATTAACCACACATTTAAACATACATTAATTACATATACTCAACCCACAATTGTTTTCCCTTCTAATCCCACTCAAAGGCCATCATTAACTTTTTAAACTACACAATAGTAATACTTGCTGTTATTCACAGCAATATTCAGAAATCTCCCCTTTTTCTTTCCATTAATTTTTTTTTTAATGCTGTCACAAACCCATTTCTGAACAGTTGCAAGATACTGTTTTGGGGGTGGAATAGCTTTTTGCCTCCAAAATACAGAGTGTCTTCTGCATACATCGGCCTTTCTTGCAGGAAGCAGGAACAAGCCACCGCAGACTGCACTTTAGAAATCATAAACTGGGAAGAAGTGGGGGCTGTGCTTCTTCCCCCTAAAATAAATGTAGTACAACTGCAGGTCTGTATCTAGATAGAGTGCTGGTGTCACCAGTTAAACTTGATGACCCGTCAAGGTTGCCACTGAAATATGGCAGCAGACTCTCCATATATACCCCCACATCCCTGTATCTTTGGGCTTGGGTTCTGTATGCCACACACAGCTGGTCATTATCTACCTCTGCTTTTAAAAATAGACGATTATATTAAAAATATGATAGATTTAAGATGATGGGGAAATTGCTTCCTTCCTCTGTTTTCCAAGGATAGGAATAACAAGACTTTTCAAAAGGGATGTTTTGCTGTACGTTCATACTAATGTAATGCATGCATACAAACACATACATATTCTGGCTCCAGATTTTTCTAGTACTCCAAACAGAGGACTCCTTCAAGGAAAGCATACAGCCTGAGGTTCTCCATCCCATCTATTCCTTTCTCATGCAGTTGCAACTATATATTACTCTGTTGGTCAAAAACCTTCAGCCTGAAGTGCATATAAACAGTACCAGAGGGTGAAGAGAACAAGGTTATAGATGACTTTTTAAAGGTGAAATGCAGTGCAGCTGAGGATCTTAACTCACTTTATAAATCATGCTAAAGTAGAAACACCCAGATTTCTACCGTGGAGTTCTTTTCACACTAAGCATACCTCCAGTCCATTCTTGGGCAACGTATGCCAAATAACCTATAGGCCAGTGTTTCTCAACCTTGGGAACTTTCAAATGTGTGGACTTCAACTCCCAGAATCCCCCAGCCAGCCAGGGTGGCTGGGGAATTC